GGCAAAGCTTAAACTATCCACTCATCCATCAGAAACAGCTTCCAGCAGACCCCATTTCACTCATTTGAAAAGTCTCAGTAGCTTGCAGAAGTCTTAAACCAAGAAACTCTTATGTTACAAAGAGCACCTCACAGAAAATTTTACAGAAATACCAGTGTCAGTAAAATGGATGGGGGTTTAAAACAAGTCACAACTGGAGCAAGTTCACGTGGGTTCTCTATCAGTAAAGCTAGCATCAGAGCACTATGAAACCTCTCAGGTTTCATCCAGGCATAACTGTTTTCTGGCTGGTCTGTAGGGAACTTGGCTCCCATTTCCTTCAGCATCACATATAAACCTCTTACTCTTTCAAGTGTTTTCTGTATCTCTTTTAAAGAGACAACATTCAGTATCTCCCATCTGCTGACAACAGCAGCTTTGATTATATATTTATCCACATCTTTCCTTCCTGTCCTTGCTGAGGAGCACATTTCCCAAATCAGGTAGCAGAACCACTGTCTCACCCACAAGTCATCATTCCACCTCAAAACATCTGGAGAGGTAGCCAACAAGACTGTATATTTTTGCTTACTTCCATAAAATAACAAACTAAAGACTTGAGCTGACAACAACAAAACACCTACCAACCAAAGAAATAGTCATTAGAAGTTATTTGTCTTCTTCCCAATCTCCTATCTTATTTAAACTGCCATTTAAGCTGAGATACAATGAACTGGTTTGAGGTAGCCCTGTTCTGCTATATATTCAGAAATAACTAGAAACAAATAATATCCTGAAAAACATAAGCGTAACATAAATGTTCAAACTGCTTCTTCATGATTTTCATTAGAACTATTTCAAATTTTGAGAATCTTGAGCTTTTGTAGCCATAAACAAAAATTAAATTGCAGATTTTAAGTCTAAAGTTAGTTCTAACATTGTAAACTACATCCTTTCAGGATAAGGCATTCGCCAAGCATAGCAATCAGAGGGCATCATATGTCAATTGGATTAAAAAAAAAGATTTCTTCACCCACTATGCCCAAGCTTGAGTTACAGTCATATGGGAAAACATCTGATGTTCAGGAACAGGGATGAGACATTTGATCCAGTTTTATTACTAAATTTCAATTGCCTCAATTTGTACTGTACTTTCATATGCAAAGGTGACAGGGAAGGGGACACATTTAGATTTAATATGTAGGTGCTAACCAAAGCCTTGTAAAAGATTTGGAATACCATATGAAGGAGGGATTTCCAAATCATACCACTCACATGAGTAGCATTAGCGAAGTGGCATCAAAACGGTCTAGCAGATGTGGAGCTACTGATATTGAAACCAGTGGAAGAAGCTGTCGTAGAAGTTTGGGAAGATCTAGCAGAGATACCAGACATGAAAGATGACTGTACACAAGTGCTGTGCCTATAAAGAAACACTGCTGACTCCTTTACAAAGTGGATTTGCTTCAAACTAGAAGAGCAAAGTTGATAAACAAAATATACTTTTTAATATTTGTCATTACAGTATGATGACAAATATAATCTCTGTTTGCAGCTGCTGGAAAATGGGTGTTTTTGCAAAAAACTAAGAAATCCTAGTCATCTGACTATCATTTGCTTTTGTAACTAAGTGCTCTGAAGCATGATTCAAAGACAAAACGGCTTCTAAGTCACTAGCTGACCACATGATGCTAGTTGTTTAAATCCTGACACTTCATCAAAATCTCTTTATAGCAGTCTATAAAGAGAAAGATAAGAAAAACCAAAAGAAATTCCAGCATGTACTCATAGTTTAGCTTGCTTAAAAGGATTCTGAGAAATGCCAGTGAATGCTTGCACTGAAATTCTCCCATTCTGTATGAAAGCTTTCCATCACTCTGTGAAAATTCTCAGGCAGCATTCCAAACATACTTCACATTCAATAAGAATTGCCAGTCACGCTTTTTCTGCATCCATTCAAATTATCAAAAACCTCAGTGTAAAACCATAGAACTTGATCTAACTTGGGGGCAGGGAGGAGCAGGTTTAAAGCTAGTGCTGAGAAAAAAAATTCCAACTTTAGTTATCAACAGAAATAAAAAGCTTTCTTTTTTAAAACTGACCACATTAAGAATTTTTTTTCCACTGAGGCATAAAATTCAAGTGGCCTTGAAATGACAATCATGCCAAACTCTGCTGCTCTCTACATCAGTAGTTTCTATACAGAAAACTATTTGTTTATTCTCAAATACTTTTTGGCATGTTAAAACAAGAGAAGGTACCTGCACTACTCCCATGTACATCCTCTGCAAATCTCCATGTGATGATCCAAAAATGAGGGCAGAACAGACTGCACCTCTCAACAAAACTGAACTTTCTGACTAACTCAGGAAACTGTTCAGACTTACTGTTGGATCTGACCAGTGGCTCAGTCCTCTACCTAAATCCAGTAATACCACATGCTTAAGAGGAAAGCGAGAAGAACTCTGGCAAAGACCATATAATTTTCAGCCCATTAGAGTCTTCTGCAATCTATTTTTTAACATTTGAAAATTGGGAGACTATCAGCAACTGTTGACCAGAATCAGGCCAAACAGCACTGTCACAATTGCTGGCTCAATGATAGACTCCAGACAGCAAGGAAGTCTGATGGTAATAAGTTAAGAAAATCTACTTGAGCTATATAAAACCACATTTTTTCTGCATTGTTCTGCATCTGTCACTTTTCAATGTCAATGTGAACTGCCTTTTGAACCACTGCTGAGACAAAAAAATCCATTGAAAAGCACACTCCAACATGCTGTAGGCAACAGATTTCAAGACACTTACACTTAACCTTTAACCTAAGGTCTAGTGTGACAATTAATTATAGCACACCTCAGTATTATTGAACTGCTCCAAAATAAGTTTCAGTCCCCCCTCCTCTCTCCCCTTCCCCTTTTTTAAATAGTGATGTTCCATTGCCATCTATCATTCAGCAGGTCAGCAAAACAATCATTAAGATGTTCTCACAGAAGTGTACACTGATCTAGGATTGCAAGAGGTCATTTTTTTTGCATACATAACACAGTTACACAGGCTGACGTTTTTCTAATTCTACTGTGTATGTGAACAATAACTGGAAACAATATATCATGTTAACATATGTTAACAAAATGTTTAATCAATAATCCAATGAATTGACTGGAATCCCCAAGGAGCTGCTTTTAATGAAACAGAAATTTATATCACTTTGAGGCCTTGAAGCACAAATTTTTCCAACATTCACCAATCTTATCATGAAGAAGACTACACTAAAGCTCTCAGCAGGACAAAGCCAATTATGAAATTCTAAGTATGAATGAACGATGTAATTGGAATATAAACAACACAGCAGGAATGTTACAAAAAATGCATACCGTTTTAAAAAGATATTGAAAAGCATTATCAAGTTGAAAGTTTAGATGTCTCCTATTATCCCAGCCATCTAGATAGCATTAGTTATTTCTGAATTAAGTCCAACTGCATGCCTTAGCAACATTAGAAACTTTTTAGAAAAAAACAAAAATATGGAACTATTTACAAAATGCCTTTAGGTGTCTTAAAATACAAATAAATAAGTTTTTCAACTGTCTGCTAACCACAACTCCTTTCATTTCAATATCTTCCCATGAGTTCATTAAGTCCTCAAAAGTCAGGTGGCTGGGCAGATTCTTCCTCTCAAAGCCACTTCCAGAAGCTACCTCCTTTTTAGAACTCTACATTTCTTGACAGTAACATTGATAAGACACAGAAGTAATTTTATTCTAAGCCATCTGCTCTACTATTAAAACTCAAAAGTTTTAAAGGCCAGCTACGTGATGATTTTCCAAATATCTGCACTGCTTTCTCTCCTAAACGCTCTACTAACCCCGTATATTCAAATTCCAAAATGCCTCAAAGACTGCAGGCGCTTGGTAAACATGCAAGCATTAATTATAGGAAACACTGTATTAGTTGCGTGTGACCTGTGAAACTCAGCCCTATCCTTGGATGACTTCACCATTCCAGAGAATCAGCAGAAATAACATGCTGGCTTCTGACACCCCGTTTTTGACAATTTTTACTTCAAATATCATAGCCACAGCTTACACCCAACTCTTTCTCCTAGCAGCATACGACATCTCTTGACAGTAGGCGCTAAAGAAGGCACAAAAAACCCCAAGGCAGCTGAAAATTAAGACTGAAATTTCCATTCCTCTCATTTCTTCTGCATTTGGCACATGCATGACCTTCAAGGGAAAACTGATGCTCCAAAAGATACATGAGCAGGACCGAGTTATCACCGCTCCTGGCACCCCATCTTCTCAGCCCCCGGCTGCTCCGCTCCTACAACATCCCCCAGACCCGCATGCAGGTTACCGAAAGCGAGACGCGCCGCAGAACGCCCTTCCCGGTCATCCAGCTTCCCTACCGACACGCACGGGCATGGGCCGCACCGTGAGGCATCCCCGCCCAGCCCAGCGGCGGGTGCCACCGCTCCCCAGAGCCCCCCCGGCGTCCTGTGGCAGCCTCTAGCGGCGATCGTCAGTGTTTACATGTGACTCGAAGTCGTTCAAAGATCGTTCAAACGCTAAATTCTGCCTTTCCTTTAAGGCACTCGTTTCTGCCGGCTTCTGTGTGCTGTTACAGTAAGGACTAACTCTTTTAACTCTTCCTCGCCTGAAATAAAGTAAAAGTAGTCCTCGGCTTCAGTACTTAAAAAAAAGGTTTTTTTGGATTGCTGAAACTAAAATATTTAGAGATGTCACTC